TACATTACATGTCCAGAAACATTTTTTTTTGTTTTTGTTTATATATAGTGCTTTTTTCTACTGCAAGGCTTGTCATGACGATATTACAGACCCTAAGAGGATCAAGAAATGTGCATGCAAGCGACGTGAGTAATATTTTGTTTCCTTGTTTGCTGTGATTTTGGTACACATTTTCTTACTTGAAACTCTTGAAACTATAGTAAGCACCTAACTCAGCAGTTATTGTTGCAAGGTTTTCTGCTTCCTGTTACCTTCAACAGTATTAAAACTATTTCTAAAACTAAAACCTTTTTTTTTTTTTGGACATGGAGGGGCAGGGTTAAAACCCCTGTGAGTTTTTCACCTCCTGTTCCAGTGACAATTGTAGTATTTTGAATTGTCCCATCTCTTTCTGTCTCAGTCACAATGGTTACATGTAAAACAGAAAAGTTGAGTCTCTTAAACGGGGGCACAGACAGTAAAAAAAAAACTGACAGGGCTTCTAACCATTCCCCACTCTATCTAAAATTTGGCTTTATTCATCAGTTGATGGAAAATATTTGTAGAATGATACTCTAGCACAGAAAAAAAGTGTAAGTAGGTAGAATGTCAGGGCAGAAGAAGAAAAAGCCAACATATTTTAAAACATTTTCTTCTATTAGCCATTTACAAACACTCTGTTTTGTAATAAGGTGTTATGTAGGCTTACTTTTTGTTGGCGAATCATAAAAATAGGTTACAAATACAGAATGTATATAAATATTTTGTAAATGGTCACATTGTGTTTCTTCCACCATTACCATGTGCTTGTCTATAAGCACATCATTGTTCTTCATAGGTTGAACGATGACATTTGAACACAGGTTACATTTTGTATTTATTGTCCACTGGTGTAAGAAGCCTATCCAGGTTGGACATCTCCTTCTATTCATAAGTGTAGACCCATGCACATTACAGTCATCAGGATTAAAGTGGGCCAATACTCAACTATAAACTTTAGATCTTGCAAGAATGGATAAACTAAGAGTAACCGAATCGTTATATTTCCTGGAGAGACATTGTCTGAACTTCTGATCCTCCTATTCAGCAGAGATTACATGATCTATTGTCTAAGCCTGTAGTCATCTAACCAGGAGTGTAGAACCACAACTGTTATTGCCAGGAAAAGTATATCAACCCTGGTGTTTCTCTTTTACTTATCCTCCATCCCAGAAAGACTGTAGATGGTACATCAGTGGTAATTTCTTTGATCACGGAAAGGTGGAATTTACATATAATATACTCCTGGGTTTGGGCATCAGAGAGCAGTGAAGATGTATAGAACACAGTAACCCTACAGAAATCAACCAGGTTTAAGTATACTGTAGTCACCTCAGTTGCTTTTGGTTAATATACTGTGCAAATCTTCATTGGTCTTTGCCCTGTCTTATTGAACATGGTGAAATAGACCTTTTTTGAGGCTAAATCGTAAACTAGTGCAGTTCTTATGGAAGTAAATAACAGTGGACTTTGGAATTATATTTTCACTACTTGTGTTCATATATTGGGTTGATTTACTGAAGGTGTATAGGCTGTTCTCTTAGTAAAGTGAATTTTTCCTTTGCAAGGGAATTTTCGCTTAGTTACTTGTGGAATAATACAAGGGTGTGCACACATCAAGGTACCACATCCAACTCTCTATTGAAAACAAAGAACCAAGTGCTAAAAAACGAGCTCTCATGAAAAACACGGACTTTTGAGGTACCACAAGGATCAACCTATGTTAGCTAAAGACATATCAAAGTTTTTTATGAAACACATTGTAAACACATATTTTAGTAGCCCTATCTTCCTATCAGGCGTAATCACATATATTGTACAGTCGTAGCAGTGGCGGACCTAATAACCAAAGGGCCCTGGTGCAAGATTTTATCTTGGGCCGCCCTCCCAAGACAGCGGGGAGGGGGCGCGGGAGCAGATCACACTGGCCCCCGAACCACCACCACCACCCCCCCAGCGGTCTCTAATGTTGCTGTAGCCTGCTGTACTCTTGACTTACATGAGACCCTGCAGAGCACACCATAAATCCTGCATAGCCCACCTGAGGCTCTCTATGGTGGGCTCTGTAGAGTCCCAGGTGGGCTGGTCGTCGGGGTCCATTTCCCTGTACCTCCTCCCAACTCTTCTTGCCTGCTGTTGCTGGGGCCTGGCCTCCTCCACCCTCTCTCGTCACCTCCTCTACCCTCTCTCGTCACCTCCTCTACCCTCTCTCGTCACCTCTGCCATGTCGCCCCTGGTACAGCTGATACCCATGTAAAGGGCCCCCCAGGTTGCCCAGACCCCTCACATGGGTACCGGCCATACCCCCCTGATGGCGGTGTTCTATCAAAGTTTGTGACTACGTTAGAATGTGTGACCGGTCACGTGGTCACACGTTTTAACATAATCCCGCCCAGTTTTTTGGCGATGGAATGTGTGACCGCCAATAGGTGAAGAATTCCAACGCTTTGTCAGCTGTTCCAGGGCAGATCGGCATCGCAGATCGCATGTGCAGGAGAACCGATCTGCCCTGGAACAACTGATCGGTCCTGAAATGTCACTTCTATCCGACTCTGTGATTGCAATCTCACTTTCCACCCCACTCACAAAGTCGTATAGAAGTGACATTTCAGGACCGATTAGCTGTTCCAGGGCAGATCGGTTCTCCTGCACATACCATCTGCGATGCCAATCTGCCCTGGAACAGTTGAGAAAGCGTTGGAATGCTTGACCTATTGGCGGTCACACATTCCACCGCCGAACAACAGGGCGGGATTGGGTTAAAATGTGTGACCACGT